GTTGATTTGCATTTGATTTATTACCAATTATCAAAAGTTTCGTTTTCAAAAAAGAAAGAATGAAATTCCTCAGCCTCAAGAAATTTTTTTGGGGTTGAAATATTATCGAAGAAACTGAAGTTTTGATTGTGAATAATTTATGGTCTTGTGGATATGGTGAATGAATGTTTCTAGAATCGAAGTTCGATAGAAGTCATATTCAATTGATTGCTTCACGATGAAATGTGAAGCAAATGTTGATTTGGGATATGCATAAGATTAGGATTATTCAATTACGAGTCAGTGATTGTGAGATGAATTTTTAACAGTGACTGATTGAAAGATGAGAAAATGATAGCAGTTCATCTCACCAACGGTATTGACTGAATCCGTAGAAATCTAGCCAAATAGTCTTGGTTAGTAGCAGAGGTTAGTGATATCGACGCGGAGTTTTCTCGGGATCCAAGTTAGCAGTTCTGTGAAACACATGCGATTTGCCCTGTTCTGTTGTCTATCCAGAGGGATTTGAGGGAGATTTGGATTTCATTGGCAGTTTGCTTGGTTGGACAGTAAAAAACGAATGAATCTCTTTTTGGGTTATCCTCATTGATGGAAGGCCGTGAGTTCTGGTTGAATGCAGACGATGAGGTGGCTGACGAAGGGTTATTTGCACCTCGATGGTCTAAACTGCCGTCGCTGTTGTATGCGTTATCGATACTTGTGAGTTAGTTTGGTGAACATGATCGTGAATCGCCTAAATATTCAATATTGAACTCGTATTCGATCACGTCCAATGATCGAATACAAGCACTGACATATACTGAAAACTCCTCCAAAATATGCATTCACGTCCAATCCATATTTTGGAGTTGTTTTCAGTACATTTCAGAATTTTCTGTGTGTGTCAATTTGATATACATATGCTATTTCGAGTTCAAAATTTCATCTGTTCCACTTTATAACGTCTGACAGACTAGCAAAAATAAAAATTACGTTAGAGAATTTGGAGAATACATTCATAATCATTGTCCCAAGTGGCTCAAAAAATAGCTTATGGCCCATCTCGTTTCTCCGCAAGATTTCATTAGATTCATTTCATTCTATAGCTAGTTTAGTGATTACAAGCGATTGCATTAGTACTACTTGAACTTCAGACCACAACTGGTTATACGTCCTCAACACCAGCAACTCTACTGGGTCAATGGGTTGCGATTGGCTATGGCCTTATCGGAATACCACTAATGGTGTTGGCTGCTGTTGATATTGGGCGCTTCCTGTCTGAGGTTGTTCTGAAAACCTATGGAAAGGTATTCGTTATTTTTCAATTCCAGAACAAAGTATTCGTTTCACTAATAATAAGATATGATATGATATGATATCATAGCAGTTTATTGCCCAGTAAAAATATGTACAAGCAATAATACAACATGAAAGGCGGAGTGCTCTGACATCATGTCAGTTGGTTGAATAAGTAGAAAATAATAACAAATTAAAATAAAAAGGTTGAATAAATGATAGTGATTCAGATAAAATTCTGTGCTGTGATATATGATACAGTACAGCTATAGGGCATGTGTAACAAGAAAGTTTAGCTATAGAAACTGTGTGAATGAGATGAGGAAGTTTAACTACGAATTAGAGAATATTAAAAAAGTCATAATA